TTAACATGGATTGTCAAATTCTTTGGCAACCATAAATTGTACAGAAAGCATTATTCATGTTAAATATAGGAACACGGAGTTCGAGTACAAATGCAATGCGTAGTATGTTAAGGGATAAAATCTCACATTTAATAAAGATGAAAATATAGACCAATTTATAAGGGTTTAGATTACTTTTCTTAATAAGGTTTACCTTTTAAGATGGAACCCTAATGTTTAACATGATATCAGAGTTCATTAAACTCTAATAAAATTTTGCCAGGAATGGATAAAATTTCACATCGAATAAAGATGAAAACATAAACCATTTTATAAAGGTATGTGCTACTACTCTTAATAAGATTCACATTTTAAGATGTAATCTAAATTTTTAACATATTACACAATTTTTAAACAATAAATAAGTAAAAAAGACGCTTGTCTGCATTCATCAACAACGACAGGTTCTAAATGTTTTCATAATTCTTTGAACATCTCAAGTCAAAGGTTGTTCTCTAAGTAGCATCCAAGTTCTTCGGAAGACGTTGTGTCAAAACCAACAGGCGCCGGTGGAGACCATTAGATAATGACAATGTGAAAAAGAAGTAACAATAAAAAAAAAAAAACTCATAAATAAAAAATTAACAAGACATCAAATTGAGGAGAAATTGGACTTGAATCAATTACAAAGAATCCTCAAATTGAAATAGATACTTAATAAAATAAAAAAATTGGAAAGGAGATTAAAATGATATTTCTAATCCTTACCCATATTTCAGGCTGTTAATCTTCAACCTACTCCCCCATTGATGTCAATTTCACAAACCTTTTTTTTTTTTTTTCCTTTTTTGAGATTCAAATAGCCGGTGGCTGGATAGGAGATGGTGGGTCGGCCGATGAGGAGTGCCAAGATTTTTGTGTGAAAAAAAAAAATCCTATATATAGATACCTATATATATATATATATTCACAAACCCCCGTTTTTCCAAACTGCTATGATACGATAAGAAGGGAGGCCGGAAATTTATGAGAAAATGGTTCCGAAACCACTTCCAAATTCCAGTCGTCATTCCCATCGGACGGTTAAAAATGAAACGAAGGAACTCTTTACGATGAGTCCCATGTGATGGGATCTGGTTTCGAGATTTTCAAACTGTAAGAATTTGGGGCTTCAAATCAACCAAAACCGAGCTCAGATTAAACCAAACCGAACCACCACAATGCAAATCCATCTCCTCCAAACCGACACCAACCTCAACACCGGTTGCTCCCAATATTTAGCCCACAAAGGACAAGGTGTGGAGTGTTAGTAGCCTCAATAATCAGCCACAAT